ACGCTGTGTGCGTTATTACCTGAGGTGGTGATGAAACAGCGCTGTAGGCTGGAGGTACCAGTGCCATCTGCCTCTGCAGCAGCTGCATGATCACGCCGATGTCCGTCGACATGCGACTCTCTAACCTTCACAGTGTATAAGAGATGATCTGCTGTTAAGAGTCTATCAAGTCCATTTTAAATTTGATCCATGATTGATGTCAATTTCAAAAAGACAGGAAGTTAGCAGTAAAAATAAACGGACCAGACTGCTGATTCGAGTCGTATCGAATACACTTTTTGAAACTTTGTTTTGCTAACGGTGCATTTCTCTTAACATCCTGCTGTTAGTCTGTTAAAAGTAAAGCAATTCTTTTTCCCCACAGGAGTTTTCTTTTATCTTTTCAGCATAAACGCGTCTTGGCGCACAGTCACACTGCAGATGTAGATAAATGTGTGCGTGACGTGTGCAGAAGTTTGCATCTCATCCTCTTTGTCCTATCTCAGGCTAATTAGGAGCCGGTCTGCTGCTATTTTAAACTCGGCAACACTTTTTGAGGTCTAACAGAGGTTTTCACATATCAGCAGAGGCATTCATCAGTCTAACGTGGAGATATCGTCTTTCTCAGCAGCTACAGCTCAGCACAGAGGAGTACAAACGTTTTATCTCAACTGGACCTGAGAAAGAGTCTCGTTGAGCCAAAGGCTACACAGCTGCAGCAGCGAGAGGAGAAGCTCTCCGTAGAGGCGTTAAAAAAGAAAAAAGCAACCCTGCTAGTTGTACCTGTTGAGCTGTTTCTGCAGCAGGTCCAGGCGTGTGTCCAGCTGGTTGCGTTGCTGGCGGCTCAAGCTGTGCAGTGGTGTGTTGAGGGGCGGAGGGGAGGCAAGGCTGCAGCTGGGAACCTCCTGGTACTGACCACTCCCCCGGCTCTCTCCCCAGAAACTAAAGATGTTGGACACACCTGAGAATGCGCCTATATGAGGGTGGAGAGGGGAGGAGTGGGTGTGTATGTGAGTGTGCAAAGCAGTGGGAAAGGATGAGTGTGTCTCTGTCGTACCATACCTGACAGGGCGTTGCAGGTGTTCCCAGGCTTGGGGTCTCCATCACCCTCGGTGTTCTCGGTAAAGGGCGGGACTTGCTTGTGTGGATTCTCTTGCATTGCAGACGGAGGGGCGAGACCAGTCACTACTGACTCCTCCCCCTATAAGAGGAGCAGGACCAGAACATCCACATCAGTTTTCACAGCGCCATCCTGTATAATAGTCACAGTGGCAGCGTGGAGTCGTACCTCGTCACCACTGGAATGTGAGGACACGGAGCTTCGATGCGCCCCCCATGGTCTCTTAGACGCCTCCTCTTGTTTTTGGTTGTGGGCCGTCTCCCGCTGTCTTCGTCTCACAGACTTATGGGACTTTTTTATTTCTCCAGCATCTGCATCATCTGGACAGATGCATAGATGGATAAAAAGGAGAAGATGGTCAGTCCAGCTGGATTAGAAGTAAGGAGATTAATATAGTATTTCTTTGACCATTCAAGCAGATAAAATAATTCAATCTGATCTATAAAGTGCCAATTCACAACAGCAGTCACCTCAAGGCACTTTTATTATCAGGTAAAGATCCCACATAGTGGAGAGAAAACCCAACAATCAGACTGTGCTCTATGGGCAGCGCTTGGTGACAGTAGGAAGGAAAAACTCCCTTTTAACAGGAAGAAAGCTCCGGCAGAGCCGGGCTCAGGGACAGCCCAGTGGGAAAAGACAAGAGAGACAGAAAGAAACAGATACTGTGGGAGAGAGAAGACAAACGTTAATGATGTGTAACACCAGGGGAGCGAAAAGAACCTATAACAGAATGAGAGAGGGGTGCTTCTGAACAGAGATG